AGTGAGTGTGGAAGAAAGAGAGAAAGGCAGAGAGAAAATCAACGTGAGAGGGACACTTCGATTGGTTGCCTCCTGCATGAGCCCTGACTTGGGCCCTGGCCAGGGAGGAGCCTATAACCTAGGTACATGCCCTCAATCAGAATCAACCCAGACCCTGCTATTGGCAGGCCTAGGCTCTATCCACTGAGCCAAACCAGCTAAAGCAGGATATGACATTTCTTAGCCCTCCAGCAGTGGGCCTTCATTTTTTCCTCCAGGAGTGAGGTAGAAAAACCCTAGATCACCTTCTTGGATTCTTATTAGGCAAGTTACCAAGAACACTGTGAGTAGTGTACAGGGAGCTGAGCCAATGAGCAGTCATAAAAGGTGTTTCCTCTGCAGCTCATGACCAGAGGTGGGACTGCTGGCGAGAGCCTGCCCTCTTCCTTTCCCTCCTGTCCACTCTCTAAAACGCAGTGAAAAAATATCCTCTGGTGAGTATTAAACAAAACACAGAATAATAGGCCTGAAAGAATTCTTGGCTCTCTGAAGATCCCTACATGAATTTTATTAACAATATTTGGGGAAAAACCAAGATGGCAAAAAACTAATCCGCCAGCTTGTATAACAACTTTAAAACTACAACTAAAAGACAAAACGTCTATCACCCAGAACCACGGGAAAGTTGGCTGAAAGAGAAAGGAGCACAAGCGCTGAAAAGCTGAAAAGCTTAGGTACGGAGGCACGTGAATCAGCTGGTGGTGGGCGACTGGGTGCACGGCTTTTTTTTTCCAACCTGAAGGGAAACAAGCTCCGATCACTTTGAAATCCAGTTTCTGGGGTCACGTGGGTGACACAGACGCCTACAGGGAGAAGCTGGTCTGTCAGCCATCAGGTCCGAAAGTGAGGGTGACTTTTTTTTCAAAGGTGTGCGCAGCAATCATTGTTTACTGCGCTGGAGCACAGGGATGTAGGAACTTGGAAACGCGGAAAGGCAGAGATGGCTGATGAAAGGCAGAGAAAGGCAGTCATCGCTGTTTGCCAAGCCCCAGCCTAGTGACATCCTGAGACCCCACCCTACCCTGTCCTGCCCCACACGTTCTACAAACCGCCCAAGCTCCACACAGCTGCTTTTGCATATAAATGGCCTGTATTGTGGCAGCTTAACAAAATAAACTGCAGCTCCAGCTCCAAAACCGCCAAATCCCAAGCAAAGAGGAGAAAACTGTAGTTCTTGCTATAGCTCCTGCTGGGTGGCCTCAGACAGTAGCTGAACTGCACTCCATTGGAGATCCAGAAGCCAGTGTATCTTGTGGTCGGTGTGAGATGACACCAGACTTCAACTACTCTCATAAGGAACACGTTCAAGAGGCAGACTCAGTGAGCACCAAAACCCTACCGGAACAAGTCCTCCCTGATAAACATGTCTTCCGCACAGCAATGCTTCCATTATAGACACAGAGGGTCCTCACAGCCAATTGGCCTGGAGGTCAATTCCTCCCAGTGACACCAACAACAATCAAGACCTAACTACAACAAGGCTGAACACACAGTCCAAGAGTGTCCACATCAGGCAACTGGGAGGCTGACCCATTGAACCATATAGGACACCCAGGCCTGCAGAGCTACCCTACCAACTCAGGGAAGCAGCGAAAATGCCAAGAAGGAAATAGATCTTAAACGAAAGAAATGGAGGAGAACAAAAAACTGGCTATAGAGTTCAAAACCACGGTTATAAGGTTTTTCAAGAATTTCCTAGAAAAGGCCGATAAATTTAACGAGACTCTCAAGGATATGAAAAAGGACCAACTAGAAATTAAACATACACTGACTAAAATAAAAAATATTATACAGAGACCCAACGGCAGACTAGAGGAGTGCGAGAATCAAGTCAAAGATTTGGAATATAAAGATGCAAAGGACACTCCCTTGGAGAAGCAAGAAGAGAAGAGAATCTAGAAAGTTGAAGACAGTATAAAAAGCCTCTGGGACAACTTCAAGCATACCAACATCTGAATTATGGAGGTGCCAGAAGAAGAGAGAGAGCAAGACACTGAAAACCTATTTGAAGAAATAATGACAGAAAACTTCCCCCACCTGGTGAAAGAAATAGACTTACAAGCCTAGGAAGTGCACAGAACCTCAAACAAAAGGAATCCAAAGAGGAACACACAAAGACACATTATAATTAAAATACCAAGAGCAAAAGACAAAGAGAATCTTACAAGCAGCAAGAGAAAAACAGTTAGTTACCTACAAGGGAGCACCCTTATGATTATCAGCTGATTTCTCAACAGAAACCATGTAGGCCAGACAGGAGTGGCAAGAAATATTTGAAGTGATGAATAGAAAGAACCTACAACCAAGATTACTCTACCCAGCAAAGTTATCATTCAGAATTGAAGGGCAGATAAAGAGCTTCACAGATCAGAAAAAGCTAAAGGAGTTTATCACCATCAAACCAGTATTATCTGAAATGCAAAAGGTGTTCTTAAAAAAGAGGGAAAATAAGATAAAAATTATGAATAACAAATACATATCTATCAACAAGTGAATCTAAAAGTCAAGTGAACTAAAAATCTGATGAACAGAATAAACTGGTGAATATAATAGAATCAGGGGCATAAAATGGAAGATTATAATTCTCAGGGAGAAAGGGGTGTCTGTGTGGAGGGTAGGGGAAGAGATTGGACAAAAATCATATACCTATGGATGAGGACAGCAGGGGACATGGGGAGGTAAGGGCAGATGGTGGGGTGGGGACTGGGTGAAGGGAAGCTATGGGGGGAATAGGGAGGAGAAACAATTGTAATAATCTGAACAATAAAGATTTATTTAAAAAAATATTTAAAAACAACAACAATATTTGGAAAATTAGCCTAAGCCACACCAATGATTCAAGTTTGTGCTTTTCTGTGTTCCAGGGAAGAATCAAATTTAGATACAATCTGGCTAATGTCCTATAGGCCAGTAAAACCATCGATTTTTGAATTGATTTGTCTTCTAGACAGAAATTAGTTACATCTTTAAAAGCGTAAAAATTCTTTTCATCTTCTCACTTTGCTGATCATTATATGTAACTTTCCAGGACTGTAAAATGTCAAAATATATGGAACTCATTTAATTGTAAATAGTGTGTCAGAGTTATGTGTTTCCTAGAAAAGAAAATGATAATTTTGTAGGTCTCTAATGCCCCAACGGACTTGCCGTCAATGTTTTATTCTAGGCATGCGCTCAACCGCGGCCTGTGCTTGTCTGAAGAGGGGGTGGGAGAACCCATCCACCCACCCTTTCCTCTCTCGGCCTGCAAACCGCTGGCAGCGGAAGCTGCGGGCAGGCGGGCAAACGGCTGCGAAAGCTGCGGCCGGGCCTGTCTTTTCCGCCCTGGGTGTGGGCTCAGCCATGGGGGCTGCACGCTAGACCCCTGTCCTTGTTCTTGTCCTTGTCTCCCTATCTCTGTCTCCATCTCTGCTCTGGGCCTCACTTGTGCATGCAACCGCCTCCTGTTCAGTTTTGACCCGTTAGGGTGTCCTGGCCTAATTTGCATATTGCCTCTCTCTCTCTCTCTCTCTCTCTCTCTCTCTCTCTCTCTCTCTTCATACATATATATATATATATATATATATATATATATATATGTATGTATACACACACATATACATATATATACACACATACATACATATATATATATATATACACACATATATACATATACACACACACACACACACACACATACATATAATCAAGTAATCTGTTTACCCTAACTTCTCTTCCCTTTCTTTCTCTCCCTCCTAACTTAGACATTCTGGGCAACACCTACACTGCAGATAGGTTTTGAGTAAGAGCTCTTAACACAAGGACTTCTGATATTTGGCTCTTTGTAGACTGGCAAACTGTGGGAGCCAAAGCCTTCTCTTTATGTTGGGGAAAGCCGATACTATAATGCTCAGCAGAAAGCAAGTCTAGTGCTTTGACTTTAAAAATAAAGCCATGTCTCAGTGGTTAGGTGTGGACCTATGAGCCAAGTCACGGTTCAGTTCCCACTTGGAGCGAATACCTGGGTTGCAGGCTTGATCCCTGGTATAGAGCATGGAGGAGGCAGCCCATCAATGACTCTCATCATTGATGTTTCTGTCTCTCTCTCTCCCTCTCTCTTCTTCTCTGAAATCAACAAAAATATACTTTAAAAAATAAAAATAAAAAGTTGGGCCTGGCCAGTGTGGCTCACTGGTTGAGAGTCAACACATGAACCAGGAGGTTATATATATATATATATATATATATATATATATATATATATATATATGATTGATTTTTTACAGAGAGGAAGAGAGAGGGGTAGAGAGCTAGAAACATCGATGAGAGAGAATCATCAATCAGCTGCCTCTTGCATACTCCCTATCAGGGATGTGCCTGCAACCAAGGTACATGCCCTTGACCAGAATCAAACCCGGGACCTTCCAGTCTGCAAGCCGACGTTCTATCCACTGAGCCAAACTGGTTTCGGCAAGAAGGTCATGTCTTGATTCTAGGTCAGAGCACATGCCTGCTCTATCCCCAATGGGGGGCCTGTAGGAGGAAGCTGATTAATGTTTCTCTCTCATCATTTCTCTCTCTCTATCCCTCTCCCTTTCTCTCCTTAAAATAAATATAAATAGATACATAGATAGATTTAAAAAAAAAATAGAGTTGGAGCCATCCTATTGTTAGGATGAGTCCCACCCTTCCCAAAGGTCCCCTAAATCTAGCACCTAAGATGAAACAAAAGCCTCCAGAAGATAACACATGAAATACCTATGTAGTAAGTTAAAAGTAACTAAAAAAATTAATTTTATTCTAAATATGATACCAGTGTGCACAAAGGGCATCGACATCTAAAGCATAAAAATAAACACTAAGCGGAAATGTTAACGTAAGGAAGATTATACACCTCAACTGCTTTCTTTCCCTCGTCAAATTAGAAAGATCGTCATTCCCCTGAGCCCTGAAACAATGGAATCAATCAAGTTGCTTACCTGAAGCACAGTGAAAAAGACCAGCCAGCACCAAAAACTGAAAGAGCTTGAGGTATGAGCACCTGGAGGGTAGTATTCTCCACTTCATTTGACCCATGGCTTCTGCTCCTTACAATGAAAAACGAAAGCAAACAATTTTGCATCAAGTGAAAACCAGGCCCGTCCCAAGAGAGTCCCAGGCCCGTGCAGAAGATAATTCAGTTGCCTCACACAGAGGACTCAACTGCAAAAGACACTGAGGAGAGGCTGATGATATACCCAGGTCTTTAAAATCCTGAATTTAAAAGATTGTGGATTTAGTCTGACACCCGGAAAAAGAAGAAAATAAAAGTCACCCAGGAAGGAAGGACAGTCCACTCTGGCTTGTAAAACTCTCTGATTGCCTGCCTAAAATAATTTTGGGATCCTAATCTGAGCCTTCCCTACACCAGGCATGATGGTGAGTTCACAGTACAGATTGGGTGGATTCTGGGAAAGTGAACTTGCCTTGTACATGTTCTAAAAGCCAACCACAGCTCTTCCATGACATGGCTCTCTGCTTACTAGGAATGATCAAGATTTAGTTAGAAATACAGAGAACTATAATGGCCAACCCATGAAAGTTCAGGTACTTTTCAGAATATACTGAGAGACACAGACCACCAGTGAGGGTGTATTTTCTCCAAAGCACTACTTAGGTTATGAAACTACTTTATTTATTTATTTATTTATTTATGTATTTATTTTTTATTGAGTGTACTAAATAAAGGCCTGTTGCATGAAATTCATGCACAGGGGTGGAAGGAGGGGCCTCTCAGCCTGGCCTGCCCCCTCTTGCAATCCGGGACCCCTCGGGGGATGAACATCTCACAATCTGGGACTGCTGGTTCCTAACTGCTCATTGCCTGCCTGCCTGACTGCCCCTAACCATTCGCCTGCCTGCCTGATTGCCCCTAATTGCCTCTGCATTGCCCCTGCACCCAGGACCCAGGCTTCCCTCCCCTGGGCGGCTTTGCCCAGACAGGCACCCGGGATACCAGGCAGCACTGCCCAGGTCCCGGCTTTGTCAGAAGACATCCAGTCTATCCGATCTAATTAGCATATTACCCTTTTATTAATATAGATTATGGTGACATTGGCTTGCAAAAACATACAAGTTTCAAGTGTACAGCTCAATAAAACATCATCTGCAGAGGAGGTCACTACATAATACTAAAAGGATTGGTCCAACAGAGGATATAATCCTTGTACACATATATGCACCCAACATAGGAGCATATAAATAAAGAAAGAAAATCTTGGTGGACATTAAGGAAGAGATTGATAACAATACAGTCTTAGTAGGGGTTTTGAACACCCCACTGACATCAGTGAATAGATATTCCAGACAAAAAATAAGGCAAATGACATGCTGGATTTGGTAGATTTACTTGATATTTATAGAATATTTCACCCCAAAGAAGCAGAATATACATTCTTCTCAAGTGCACATGGAATAGTCACAAAGATAGATCACATGTTAGGATACAAAATAAATCTTAATAAATTCAAGAAGATTGAAATTATATTCTCTGACCACAATGGTATAAAGGTAGAAATTATAATAAAAATTAAAAAACCCTAAAAACAATTCATACACATGGAGGCTAAATAATACATTATTAAACAATGAATGTATTAACAATGAGATCAAGGAAGAAATCAGAAGTTACCTGGAAACAAATGAAAATAAACAGACAACAACCCCAAATCTATAGGGTACAGTGAAAACAGTCCCAAGGAGAAAGTTCTTAGCACTATAGGCCTATCTCAAAAGGTAAGAAAAGCCCTGGCCAGAGTACCTCAAAGGTTAGAACATCAGCCTGCACACCTGATGCTTGCAGGTTCCAATCCCTGCTCCGGTTGGGGCACATGTGGGAGGCAACCAGTTGATGTGTCACATAGATGCTTCTCTCCCCTTTCACCTCTCCCTTCCACTTTATCTAGAATCAATGTAAAAAATATCCTCACTCATCTGATGAGGATTAAAAACATATGAAAAATCTCAAATAAACAATTTAAATACTACACCTAAAAAAACTAGAAAAATAACAATAAACAAAGCCCAGAGTAAGAAGGAAGGAAATAATAAAGATCAGAGCAGAAATAAATAAATGATACAGAAACTAACCAGACTCATCAAGAAAAAAGAGAGAGGACCCAGATAAATAAAACCAGAAACAAAAGAGGAGGAATAACAACTTACACACCAGAAATATAAAGGATTGTAAGAAAATAATATGAAGCCAAAACTGGTTTGGCTCTCTGGATAGAATGTCAGCCTGCAGACTGAAAGGTCCCAGGTTCAATTCCTTGTTGTGGGCACATCCCCAATGGGGATGTGCAAGAGGCAGCTGATCGATGTTTCTAACTCTCTATCCCTCTCTCTTTATCTCTGTAAAAAATTAATAAAATATATTATATAGAAAAAAATATGAACAACTATAATGCCAACAAATTGGACAACCTGTGCGAAATGGATAAATTTGTATAAATTTGTATAAATACAATCTTTACATAATCTTTATGTAAAAACAATCTTTGTATAAATACAATTTGTATAAATTTGTATAAACACAATCTTTCAAAACCGAGTCAGGAAGAATCAGAAAACCTGAATACACTGATTACAACTAATGAAATTGAAGCAGTAAAAAAAATTTCCAGCAAACAAATGTCCTAGATCACAGGTGAATTTTATAAAAAATTCAAAGAAGAAATGACGCTTATCCTTTTCAAACTATTTCAAAAAATTCAAGAGGCAGGAAAATTTCCAAGCTCATTTCACAAGGCCAGCATTCTTCTAATTCCAAAACCAGATAAAGACACTATAAGGAAATAAAATTATAGCTCAACATCTCTAATGAACATAGATGCTAAAACCATCAAAAAAAATATTAGCAAACCAGACCCAGCAATACATTTAAAAGATCATACTACATGTTCAAGTAGGATTCATTCTGGGGACACAAGGTTGGTACAATATTAGCAAATCAATAAACATGATACATCACATAAACAAAATAAAAGTTACAAATCACATGATTATAACACTAGATGCAGAAAAAGTGCTTGATAAAATCCAGTACCTACCTATGATAAAAACTCTCAGTAAAGTGGTTATTGAGGGATGATACTTCAACATTAAAAAGGACATAAATGACAAGCCCATAGTCAACATCATACTCAATGGGCAAAAAGTAAAAGCATTTCCCTTAAGATCAGAACAAGACAGGGCTGCTGGCTTTCACCACTTATATTCAACATAGTACTGGAAACGACTTCTTTCTTAACATATTTACGTAGAAAAACAAGTGTCTCGATTCTTAAACACCTCTTCACAAAAAATACATCAACAGAAAAATCTGCCAACAAAAGGAGATGAAAAAAGACACAAGCTATCCCATATTAAGATAATAGTAAATTTACTTACGCTGAAGAACAATTTCTCTTCTCCTCTTGTGTCGAAAGTCCAAGTAGGAGGATCCACGTCTGAGATGTTCTCGTTTGGGTAGCTCGAGAACTAATTGCTCAATTGTACTTTAAAGTCTGCCACAGAGGCGGCATTCCCCTTCCTACTTCCTCTTACTTGAGTTTTCCATCAGGCGTAATAAAAGCTTACAAGGTATGGTTTTGGTGATACGATTTGAAGAAGCTCAGGAGCTCAGTCAGTTTCTTAGAGTGATGGGGTGGGGCAAACCCCACTGTCTTAAAGAGAGCAGTAGGCAGCGTGGGGGAGGGAAGACAGTAGTTGGAGGCTTGACTATTTGGCAGTCGAAACTTGTGAGCTTTATGGGCTGCCTGCTTCAGGTCTAATCCCAAGTTTTGTTTTAGCACCTGGAGTTATCCCTCCCTAGTTTCAGTCATGCTATTGCAGGAACGGGCCATCATATGTAGTGGACATCTTTTGGAGAGAACTCAGCTCACAAGGCCACTCTTGATTGCATGCCCACCTCTCCGTCCCACCCTCTTCACAGAGTGGGCTCCTGGTAGCCATGGTGGGCAGTGTCTCCCTAACCACGGCTGAATGCACCTCAGGGGAGCATAGTGATAGCACCAAGGCATGGGGTGAAGGGGACTTAGCCTCTCATCCATCCCATTTCCAACCAATCCCATTTCCAACCAGCTTGCTGTGTAGAATTCTGGCACCTTCTGTGGGTAAACAGCTGACCTATGCTAATCCAGCTGACCTGCTTCACACAGGTAGAACCTGGCAGTGGCGTCCTGCCTGGGCCGGCGCCTTTGACTGCTGTTGGTCCTGAGCTTCTCTGTTGCCTTGGCTTGGACACTTGGAAGTTTTGCACTCACATGTGTGCAGTCTGAAAATAGGGGAGGAGTCCATGCCGATGGGGCTACTCTTAGCCAAATGGGGCTGGAAGGTGATGCGGAACTGCTTTCTCCTTTGTCACCCAGGTGGAGAGTGCCAAGAGACACAATCAAAGCTCACTGAACAACACACCAAATGAGTGCATTTCATTGCATGTAAATTGTATCTCAAATCTTTTTTTTTTTTTCCCCTAAAGCTCTCAGGCCAAGTCTAGGTCAGTACAACCAGAAAAAAAAAATAGGCATAGCAAATAAAAAAATTGGGTAGGTATACAGAATATTAATGATAATAGAAAAAAGATAAAATGGAATAAACATTGCTGAGTCACTTAAAAAGAGTCAGGAGACAAGAGAATGAGGCCCATGGACTTTGGGGCCTCTGTTCTCAGAGCTACTGATAAGTCGCTAAACTCGGCTTCAGGCTAAGCCATAGACATAATGGTGTTACAGAAGACCAGAGAAAAACCAAGCAACGCTTAGAGAAATGGAGTTACATTGTTTATTATGCCAGCAGGCTCAAGGAAAGATGTCTCTCAAATGAGTGAGTAAAAGCATGGAGGAAGCTTTCCCTTTTTATATCTTTCTAGCCCTTGGTCTCCCCCCAAAAAAGCATGTTTTGGTCCCTTTTGCAAGTTTTTAAAAGCCCCATGTGCTAGGTCCTTGAGACCACAATTAAAGGCCTGGCCTTGGCACCAGCACTGGTAACTCCAGCTGGGGATGGTTTATGGCCTCTCTAAAATGGGAATAGTATTT